ACTCGCTCATGAGGAGGGGCCCGCGCACGCTCTGTGCCGCCAGGCGGGGGAGTTCTCTGCCTCCTCCCTCTCATCGCGCTCCTCCTCCTCCGCCTCCTTCTCTTCCCTAACCCCCCTTCAACCGCAACGCCTCCTCCCCTGATACTCCTCCTCCTCGACGTCCCCCCTCCCCCACCTTCCACACGATGCCTCGATGCTCCTACCTCTCGTCCTGATTATCGTCGTCGTCCTCCTCCTCGTCCTTTTCCTCCCTCTCGTCCTGTTCCTCCCCCTACTCCTCCTCCTATTTCTTTTGGTCCACTCATCCTTCTCGTCCTCGTCCTCGTCCTCGTCCTCGTCGTCGCCCTTGTGATTTTCCCCCTTGTCGACCTGCCCCCCTCCCCCTTCCCCAGAATGACGCAGGCCTCGAGAATGGTCTCGCGGCGTCCACGTCCGCGCTGAGGCCCGACGCACCAATCATCCGTTCCACCTTCAGATCCTCTAGAGCCCGCGTGAGGGCGACGCAGCAGCAGAGCTGTGGGAGTGGCCCCTCCTGCCCTCCCACTGCATTTCCTTTTCCACCCGATGTCTCGATGCGGCGGGCCTTTGAGCGCCGTTTTTCGTCCCCGTATTCCTCTGTCCGTGTTCCGCGGACCTCGTTCAACGGCATGTGCTGCATGCTGGCACCTACCCATACCTGGAAACAAAACGAGCACCGTAGCCGATTCATCGAGATGAATAGTCACAGGGCCAGTAAGTTTCATGGCGTTGCGTCCAAGCTGACCCCGGACAAGAATGCGTAAGATGTCGCCTGGCGGTGGCTGAGTAGTCATTGCGCCTCTCATGCGCCGCGCCGATGGGCGACGTGAATACAATACTGGTGGCGTAGGATGCTCCGTGATGATGCTGGTGTTGTGTGCGAAGCAGATGGCGGCGAGTGTGGTGGTCGCTCTGCGCGGGGCGCAACCCAGGTCCAGCTGCTTGCGCTCGCGGGCAATCGCAATTGCGATGGCCCAAAACAACTGCTGGGTCCTACGCGCCCGCGGCTGACAACCAGAATGTACCTCCTGCCACCCGGCCGCAAGCGCCGCAAGGTGGGCACGCCACCAGGAGCATGGCCTGGCCTGAGCGGAGCGCCGCTGCCCAGAATTCAATGGTCGACAGAGGGGCGGTGAGTGCAGAGAGGGGGGGGGGGGAACGCGAGGGAGGGGGAGGGGGAGGGAGGGGAGAGGTGACGGACGTCAGTTTGCTGGTGGCGGGCCCCTGGGGCCCTCCACGGGCCCCGCCGAGCCCGTCCGCAAAAACACCAACGGTCCAGAATGCAGCGGCGAGCCACGAGAAGGCGCAGCGACATTACACCGAGGGCGACGCGGACCGCCAGCGTGGCACACCGCGCGGAGAAAGAGGGCGCCGACGCGCGGCCTCGCGCGGGACACGTGCGAGCGAATGCCTGCGTGGTCGGCCCTGCTTTCCACCGCCGTTCCGACGGTCCTGGGGACAGACCCCGGGGACCACGACTTGCTTCCCTTCGGGCCCCTTCTCTTCATGCGGGGGCGGGAGTTGAAGGTGAGATGGCGGGCGAGGCGAGTCGGCAGCAGAGACGGGAAGGGGGGGGTGGGGGACCGGCCGGGCGGGAAGGGAGCAGGTAACCAGCCTCGAGCCTATCCCTATCCCCAAGATCGACAAGTCCAAAGGCGATGACATTCACTGGGATGCGCCAGCAGAAACGCAGGAAATCCTTCAGATCGGCATCAGGATAAGGTGATGCCAATCTTAGGGACCTAGGGATTGGGATCTGTTTCAGGCTGGTCAGCGCGGTGGGAGGACGTCCACCTCCTCCCTACCAAGTTTTGCCCACGTGGAGCGCACGTGGCCTTTTGTCAAACCTCCGCAGGGCGGCGTCGGCGTCGGGATGCACTTCGAGCCGCATCGCCGATGCATCGGTGATTCGACGCGACCCTCCGACCAAATCTCTTCGGACTCCTCTCTCCCCCTCGTTTTTTCTTCGACATGCTGTCGGGCCTCCATGGGCCCGCAGCGTCAGGCGCGCGCCATACAAGAAAAGCAAACGACCGCGGCGAAGCCGACACAACGGCACGGCAACGGGACCTGGGTCGAGAGATCCAGGGAAAGCAGCGTAGACCACGCTCTGGCCAAAGGTGGGGGGCACGAGGTGGCCTCAGAGGGCCTTCGCCAGGAAGACAGGGACGAGGGACCCAAAGGTCTCTCCCCCTCCCCCTCCTCCTCCTCCTCCTCCTCCTCCTCCTCCTCCTCCTCCTCCTCCTCCTCCTCGGTCCTTCTCCTTCTCCTGCTGCTGCTTCTCCTCCTCCTCCTCCTCCTCCTCCTCCTCCTCCTCCTTCCCCTCCTCGCCTCCTCCCTCCCCATCCTCGCCTCCTCCAGGCGAGGCCCACGGCTCGCGGGTGCTGGGTCTCTCGGGGGCTTGTCTCCAGGATGGGCCCAGGGAGGGCGGTGGGCGTCTTCCACCGGGGCACGCCTGGGGATGCGTCGCCCGTCCCGCACCCCAGATCAGCGAAGCCCCATGCCACCCAGATCTCGGAAGATGTGAATTGCTCAACCTCAGCTTTTCTCTGATGTCCGTATGCGGGACCTGTTTTCGGACCGCCAGTACTATCAAACACAAACCTGGGACTAACAGCTACCCCCGGGGAAGGGGATCGAGACCTCTGGCGCCGCGGATCGAAAACATATCCTGGCGACGGGCCCGACCATATGCAGTTGTGACGTTGTGGGTATCGCCTTCGGTGCATTCTTGATGGGGCCACGAAGCGTGAAAACAGTGTGCTGAAATGGGCCAGGAACGCGTGCGGGCGCAGCCATTGAGGCCTTCGGTCCATCTGGGGGCACGAAACGTGTGAGGGGTGTGCCGAAATGGAACGGGGCCGCCATACGAACCATGCTACTGGGGCCTTCGATGAAGCTCCCGATGGGTCCACGAAGCGCGGTACTGAGTGGGACAGACGCATGCGAACACCGTCACTGGGGCCTTCGGTGGAGCTCTCTATGGGGCCACGGTGGGGGGGACGCGTGCTAAGTCCTCCACTGGAATCTTCGGTGGGGCCCCTGTGGGGCCACGGAACGCTGTACTGGGTGGTGGAGACGCATGCAAACCATGCCACTGGGGCCTTCTGTGGAGCCCCCTTGTGGGGCTACGAAGCGCTGTACTGGGTGGGGGAAATGCATGCAGGCATCGCCACGGGTGCTTTCGGTGGAGCTTCCTAGGGGGCCACGAAACGCTGTATTGGGTGGGGAAAACGCGGGTGGCGCCACTGGGGCTTTCGGTGAAGCCCCCCATATGGGGCCACGAAACGCTGTGCTGGGTGGGGGAAACGCATGCGGGCATTAGGTGGGGGGTGGAGCTCCCCATGGGGCCACGAGGCGCTGTACTGGGTGGGGGAAACGCACGCAGACACCGCCACTGGGGCCTTAGGTGGAGTTCCCTAGAGGTGTTCCGAAATAGGTGGCGGGCACGCATGTGGCCACCCCCACTGGGGCCTTCGGTGGAGCTTCCTAGGGAGCCACGAAACGTGTGAGGGTTGTCCTGAAATGAGCGGCTGGGACGCATGCGGGCGGCGCCACTGAGACCCTCGGTATAAATCCGTATGGGGCCACGAAGCGTGTGAGGGGTGTACCGAAATCAGCGGTTGGGACGCATGCGGGCGGCGCCACTGGGGCCTTCGGTGGACTTCCCTCGGGGGCCGCGAAACGTGTCAGGGGTGTGCCGAAATTAACGCCTGGGACGCATGCGGGCGACGCCACTGGGGCCTTCGGTAGGGCTCCCTATGGGGCCACGATAAGTGTGAAGGGTCTGCCGAAATGAGCGGCTGGGATGCATGCGGGCGGCGCCACTGGGACCTTCGGTGGAGCTTCCTATGGGGCCACGAATCATGTGAGGGGTGTGCCGCAATGAGCGGTTGGGACGCATGCGGGCGGCGCCACTTGGACCTTCGGTGAACCTCCCTCGGGGGCCGCGAAATGAGGGGTATGCCGAAATAGGATGAGAGACAGAGGCAAGGACGGGGAGAAAGAGGAGGGGGAGGAGGAAGGAGGAGACGCGGGGCGCTGTGTCCTCAAAACGAGGACCCAACACAACAGGATGGTTGGGAACAACTTTGTCGGATGCGCTGGTCAGATCTCGCCTCCTCCTCCTCCTCCTCCTCCTTCTACTCCTCCTCCTCCTCCTCGGGCGCTGGATCGACTAAACGCAAGTGTGGCCCCCAAAAAAGATCACAGGGGACACATGGACCACCGCCACCGAGAACCCATCGATAGGGCGCCGACCTCTGGGCGGTGGCACGCTCGAGCGTCACCCAGCACAGGACGACGCTCAACCGTGCCACCGCCCAGGGGTCGGTCCTCGTCCGATGGGTTCTCGGTGGCGCTCCCGCGGCGGCCTGCGCGTCTGGGCCTGACCCCACGGCGCTCCCCGAGCACCGCGCACCAGCGGCCCGTCCGGTGGGGGGCCGCTCTGGAGTGCAGCCGAGCCCGACGGCGCTGCAGCCATCAGGTGGCTGCAGCGCCGGGCCGGAGCGGAGACGGATCGTCAGGAAATCGGCAGGCGTCGGCTGAAACATCGATTCGGCCCGGCGCGGGATCGGGCGAGGTCGCCGTCGGAAACGTACATCGGGATGCATGCGCCGAGTCGGGGCGGGCCGGAACTCTGGGAAATCCTCCTCCTCCTTCTCCTCCTGCTCCTCCTCCTCCTCCTCCTCCTTCCTCCTCCTCCTCCTCCGTTTCCTCCTCCTCCTTCTCCTCCTCCTTCTCCTCCTCCGTCCTCCTCCTCCTCCTCCGTCCTCCTTCCTCCTCCTCCTCCTCCTCCTCCTCCTCCTCCTCCTTCTCCTCCTCCCCCTCCTCCTCCCCCTCCCCCTCCGTTTCGACTCGGCCCGGTGGAGTGGGAAAGCGCCCTGCCGCCCTGGCCTTGCGGTCCGGCCCAGCGAAGTTCAGCGCCGGGTGCGCGGGCCCGAGGGCCGTGTGCCCCAGGTGCTCGGCGAGGTCCCCGCCTGTCAGCGGGAGCCTGCGGGGCGAGGCAGGGCGAGAGCGGCAACGGCTTCGGACACATCTGGGCCACCCAACAGCGCGGGCTTTCTATGCCATGAGGGCGCTTACAAGCCAGCCCGGCAGCCTGGTGCCCTGCGCGTCTTGGAGCTCGTGTCTCGAGCACCAATCCGGGAGTAGGGCGGTATGCAATCACTGGGAGCCGCCGCTGGTCGCGCCCCGCGATGCGCGACATGCAGGTCTCTTCGCACCCGCGTTTCCCCCCCCCAGGAGGGAGGCAGCTCCGAGGCCCAGACCTCCGAGCGCGTCTCTGTGGAGGATGTGTGCGCGGGCGTACATGACGAGCGCGCGTACATCCATATCAACGCCCTCGCGGCGCGATTCCGCGGATACGCGGTCGTACGGACACGTTCCTCGCGGGGCATCCGCGAAGAAAACGCCCCGTACCCGCGGGGACGCGGCCCAGAGGCCCGGCTCGCGAGGCAGTAAATCCGCCGATCGGGCGTGTGAGTTTCAAGGAGTCTCAGCTACAGCCTCGAGGCTGAGCCTCAGCCTCTGGGGGGGTTGCCGGGGTGGCTCTGCCGGGGAAGGGGGGCGGGAGGGGGGGGGGGGGTGCGAGTTTCCGGCGGATGCGTTTTTTGATACCCCTCACAAGGATCGTGGCCTCCGAGGGGGTTCCGAACTCGAGTACCACCCCTCCCGCACCAAGAGGCTCCGAGGAGGCCTCCAAGAGGCCCCAAGGGGCGCAGAAGAGGCCCCAAGAGGCTCCCAAGAGACCCCCAAGAGGCCCTCTAGTGGCCCCAAGAGGCCCAAGAGGCCCCCAAGAAGCCCCAAGAGGCGCCCAAGAGGCCCCCAGAAGTCCCAGCCAACCACGAGATCCCAACCAGCATCCATGAGGCCTCTGACCCACCACCCACGCACGGTGGCGGGATAGGCCGACGGCCACTGGATCCGCCGCCCCCTGCTTGCAGGGGTGCACGGCGTGCTGGACGTTTCAGGTTTTGGTTTTGGTTCTTTTTCTAAAAGAACTCTCCAGTGGGCTCCGGCCCGTCCCGCCACCGTGCCCAAAAACGGCCGTTTCGCTCGGGACATCCTCAAAAAATCGCGAAGATGGCCCAAGATGGCCTCCAAGTCCGCCCGAGATGGTCCAAGACGGCCTCCAAAACGGCCCAAGAGAGTCCAAGACGGCCCAAGACGGCCCAAGAGGCCCCCCAGAGGCCTCCCAGACGGCCCAAGAGGCCTCCAAGAGGTCCTCCAGGAGAGTCCGAAGAGGCCAAAATCATTGATTTTCCATTGGTTTTTGAAGGATTTTGGCATTTGCGCCTTTTCGGCTCTCCGACGGCTCAAGACGGCCCAAGAAGCCCCCAAGATCGCCCAAGAGGCCCCCAAGAGAGCCCCCTGATGGCCCAAGTGGCCTCCAAGATGGCCCCTAGAGGGCCCCAAGACGGCCCAAGAGGCCTCCAACACGCCCAAGATGGCCTCCAAGACGCCCAAGATGGCCTCCAAGACGGCCCTGGAGCGCCCCAAGAGGGTCCCCCGTTGGCCCAGAAAGGCCCCCAAAACGGCTCCCGACGGCGTCAGACGTGCCAGGAACCCACCAAGATGGCCGAAGTTGGCTCGAAGCTGGCCCAAAAGGGCCCAAGAGGCCCCCAAGAGGGCCTCCAGGAAGGCCAAAAGATGCCAAAATCACTGATTTTCCCAAGGTTTTTGATGGATTTGGGCATTTCCCTTCTTTCGGCCTTCCGACGGCCCGAGACGGCCCAAGAGCCCCCAAAGATCGCCGAAAGATCGCCCAAGAGGCCTCCAAGACGGCGACGATGACCATCAAGACGCCCACGTGTTCCCCGAAGGCTTTCCAAACCGATTCGGGGAACACATGGTCCGATGGCTTGGCAGGTCTGGCCTCAACGTTCGGCCACATAGGCGCTTCCACAAAGGCAGGGGGCGGCGGTGATTCGCCGTAGGCGTCTTCGATAAATGCTGAGTGAGAGGAGGGGAGGGAAAAAGAGAGGAGGGACGAGGGCGAAGAAGGATCACATCAGTCGGAGCGCCCCGGATCGGCGGCACTGGCCGAAGGCCACTACAATACGGATATGTGTCTCGCCCACGAGCATACGTGCTGGACGTCGGCGGCGATCGCGGAAGTGGAGCTGTGGAGCACAAGGGCTTTGTGCTGAGCCCCTCGGGGGCCCCAGCTCTGGCCCACATCGGCGCGCCCCCCCCCCCCCAAAAAAAAGAGTCGACCGCGCAGCCTCCCCCAAATGGCCGATTGCAAGAAAAAACTCAACAACCCAAAACTGTGGATCCCTCACTTGGCCGCGTTCATGTTGTAGCGTTGCCGAATTGCGGAAGTCACACATCCGTGTTGGCGGGCATGCTGTGTGACCCCTCACGGGAGCCCTCGGGAACCCAACGGGGCTGATGTGACACCGTGTTGGCCCCGTGACCTAACGGGGCCGCGCGAACCCGTGTTGGCCATGACCGCCGCGTTCAGAACGAACGAATTGACTACTTCCGCCGCGTCCCGCCGACCTTCCGCTGGCAGACCCGCCGCCGTCTTACTTCCGCTGGCCTCAGCAAGGCCTCCCGCCGAAGGCGAGACGCGCCGCCGGCGAGGCCCACTTCTTGAACGCCCGTCTGTTTACGTCGGGCGCCGCGGCCGTTCAAGAGCGTTCCAGAACGCTCTGAAGGGAAGAATGACGAAACGGCAAAAGCATTGGGATGTCCCTGCGGATCTCTTGCGCCGGCACTGGAACCTCCTGCGCGTGGAGCGCGCCAGGGGTGGCACCAGAGGCGCAGCAATGAGGGAGCCCAGCGCAGCCGAGGAAAATCGATGTTAACGTTTTTGTTGTTGTAATTCGAGCCATCCCTTTCTGGAACGCTCTGGAATGATGAATCGTCACATTTAGCCTGCCTGACAAGGACCTCTTCCCTTCAGCCGGCTACTGGAGCGATCCGCCGTCGGCGTCAGAGGCCACGATCGACCCCCGAGCATTGACGAGGCCCTGGACACTGGACATCGCACCTGCTGGTCCCGCGGGAGGGCCCCAAGAGGGGCTGAGCGGTGGCGCCGCGGCGACGGCAAATGGGGGCGGTTATGTTCGTTCCGCGTTGGTTTTTGCACCGCCAGCATAGTGTGCTGCAAGCCAGTCGATGTCGTCCAAACAATTCAGTCCTTCGAGGGTGCCGCGCATGTGTCCCGCGGGGAATCTCAGTTCGAGCCGATGTTTCCCAACCAGTCCTTGCACTTAGAGGTTCTTGCGTGTGTCTGTGAGGAATCGGATGGGTCCGTCGTGGTTTCGCAACGTTGCCGCCCGCTGCCGCCTCGTTACTGTCTCGTTGCCGCCTCGTGCGCTGGGTGGGTCTGGCGAGGGTTCGCCAAAATTGCCGCCCGTTGCCACCTCGTGCGCTGGGTGGGTCCAGCAAGGTTTCGCCACGTTGTGGCCCGTTGCCGCCTCGTTGCCGCCTCGTGCGCTAGCTCGGTCTGGCGAGTTTTCACCACGATGCCGCCCGCTGCCGCCTTGATGCCGTCTCTAGCTTGCACCAAGGATACTGTACCACATAGCTTACACCACATAGCCTGCACCACATAGCATCCGCACATCCACAGTGCAATAATCTACTGCTTTGGGTCCTAGCTACCATGTTGCTTCGTCTTTGTTGCTGCGCTGCTGGAATAGGAGTGCTTCAGCGAAGACTTCCCCCCCGCGGGCGTGCCACGCACGTGCCAAACTCGTCCCGCGGGGCGTCTCGGCTCGAGCCCGGTTCGCCGGATGCTCCTGGCGGAGAGGCAGCACGGCGGGCGTCACGACAAGAAAAGCAAGTCCTTCGTGCATATACGTGTGCAAAAAACTGTAATGTGTGTGCATGTCTGTGCGTCTCTGTGCGAATGAGGCCGTTTAGATATTCCTGCTTTGGGGTCCAAGGTTCTACTGGGGAGGCAGAGAGGTGGCAGTGCGAGGCAAGGAGGTGTCAGAGCGTGGATGGGCAGTCTGCTGGAGAGGCAGAAAGGGTGGCATTGAAAGGCGAGGTGAAAGCAGAGAGCGAATACGAGTAGCAAGAAAGGCGCGACCCATCAGGCTGAGCTTCTTCAGCAAGCGCGGGCACTTCCACCTAAGTGCTTCGATGACCGACGGAATCAGCAAGAGGAACAGAGAAGACAAAACTGACCAAACATATGTCGCGTGCATGGCCCTGCTGCATGTGAAACCGCTCCAGCCAATTGTTGTTTTGTTCTCAAGGCCAGATCGATCCCGCAATGCTCGCATTGCATACAAGCTACCAGCCGAGCAACCAATTGCCTAACAGCATGCCCTCCAGCTGTAAGCATCCACGTGGCAATTCGAGGGGTCTCGCACACCCTCTGTCAAAAGTCATGCTGCGTCCAAGTATGGGAGCAATGGGTGGGACGTGTTCAGTTCACTACAGTGCGCGTCTGTACGACAGTCTCTCTGATTGCACCATCGCATCGCGACTGCGGTCAACCAGCTAGCCGACGAAGCCACAAGTTCCAAATCGCGACCTCGACCAGCCCCAACCACGTGTTAGGCGCAACGTGCAGCAGCTTTCCCTACTGCTGGCAGCTCCACGCGTGCATCACGCACGAGCTCTTCTGCGAAGGCCATCTGCCGCTGAGTAGGTGGCCGCGCGGCCAGCTGCTCGTCGATGAAATGTCTGCAGCTGGACGAGCTCTGGCGCACGACCTCAGGCAGATCCACCCCAGCTTCCCTCGCAAGATCCTGCGCGAACGCTACCTGCTGCCGACTTGGGGCCTTCACGGCGAGCAGCTCGTTGATGAATTCACTGCAGCGCCCGGCGTTCTGGCGCGTGCACTTCGGCATCTCCACGCCTGCATCCCGCGCGAGCCGCTCTGCGAAAGCCGTCTGTCGCTGGGTAGGCGGCCCCGTGGCCAGAAGGTCGGCGATGAACTCGCTGCAGCGTTGGGAACTGCGACGCACGACCTCTGGCAGCTCGACGCCTGCATCCCGCGCGAGCTGTTCTGCGAAGGCCAGTCTCGGCTGCAGGGGCGGCTGCGTTGCCAGTAGCTCCTTGATGAAGTCGCCGCATCGCTGGGCACTCTGTCGCGCGACCTCCGGCAACTCCACGCCTGCACTCCGTGCGAGCCGCTCCGCGAAGACAACCTGCTGCTGTGTAGGCGGCCTTCTGGCCCGTAATTCGTTGATGATCTTGCTGCACCGCTGGAAGCTCTGCCGTGCGTCCTCCGGCAGCTCCACGTCGGCTTTCCATGCGAGATGTTCCGCAAGGGCTATCGTCTTCTGCGAGGGCGGTCGCGTGGCAAGAAGCTCCTCGATGATCTTACTCAGGCTCTTGGAACAACGGCGCACCACCTCCGGCATTTCGACGCCTGTGTCCCGTGCGAGCTGCTCCGCCAGGGCCACCCTCTTGCGCATGGCCGGCCGCAGTGGAAGCTGTTCATCGATGAATGCGCTGCAATTCTTGAAGCTTGTGCGTACGGCCTCCGGCAACTCGGCACCTGAATCCCGTGCCAGCTGTTCCGCGAAAGTGAGCTGGGCCTGCGTGGGTGGCTGCGCAGCCAGCAGCTTTTCGATGAACTCATGGCAGCGCTGGGCCCGCTGTCGCACGACGTCTGGCACATTCAAGCCTGCATCGCGTGCGAGACGTTCTGCGAAATCCAACGATTTCTGCGTTGGCGGCCGCATCTCGTTGATGAACTCATCGCAGCGCTCGGCGCTTTGGGGCACGACTTCGGGCAGCTCGACGCCTGCATCCCGCGCGAGCTGTTCTGCGAACGCCAGCTTCGACTGCAGGGGCGGCTCCGTGGCCAGCAGCTCCTTGATGAACTCGCTACAGCTCTGAGCGCTCAAGCGAGCGATCTCTGGCAACTCCACGCCTGCACCCTGCGCGAGCCTTTCTGCAAAGTCCGCCTGCTTCTGTGTGGGCCGCTGCTTAGCCTGTAACCTTTTGATGAACTCATAGCATTGCTGTCTACTTTGGCGTGTATGTTCAGGTAGCTCCACACATGCGTCTCGCGCGAGCTGTTCTGCGAATGCAATCTGTCTTCGCGAGGGTGGAGAAGTGGCCACCAATTGGCAAATCAACTCACTGCAACGCTGCGAGTTTTGGCGCACCACGTCCGGTACTTCCACGCCTGCGTTTCGTGCGAGCTGCTCAGCGAAAGCGAGCCTCTTCGGCAGTGGTGGCAGTGTGGCGAGCAGCTCGTTGATGAACTCAGCACAGCGCTTGGAGCTCAGGCGCACGGCCCCTGGCAACTCCACGCCTGCATCCTGCGCGAGCTGCTCCGCAAAGGCTCTCTGCTTCTGCGTGGGAGGCTTCGCAGCCAGGTGCTCATCGATGAACTTGCTGCAGACCTTCGAGCTTCGGCGCGTGACCTCCAGCAACTCCACGCCTGCATCCTGTGCGAGCTGTTCTGCGAAAGCAACTGTCTTCCGAGTGGGCAGAACGGTCCGATATTCCTCGATGAAGTCGCCGCAGCGCTGGCGGTTTCGACGCACGTCCTCTGGCAGCTCCATACCAACATCTCGAGCGAGCTGCTCGGCGAAGGCCACCCTCTTGTGAAAGGGTGGCAGTGTCGGCAGCAGCTTGTCGATGAAATCCCTGCAGCGCTCCGCACTCTGTCGAACGACCTCGGGCACATCTACGCCCGCCTCCTGCGCGATCTGCTCTGCAAAAGCAACACGCTTCTGCGAGGGCGGCTTCGCGGCCAACCGCTCCTTGATGAACTCCCTACAGTGCCGAGAGCTCCGTCGTGCGGCATCTGGCAGCGCCACCCCTGCATCTTGTGCGAGGCGCTCTGCCAGCATAGCCATCTTCTGCGTGGGGGGGGTCGCAGCCAGCAGCTCGTCGATGAACTCACCGCAGCGCCGAGAGCTCCGTCGCACGACACCTGGCAACTCCACGCCGGCCTCCCGCGCGAGCTGTTCTGCAAAGGCAGCCATCTTCTGCGTGGGGGGCTTCGCGGCCAGCCGCTCCCTGATGAACTCCGCGCAGTGCTGCACACTCCCTCGCGCGGCATCTGGCAACTCCCGGCCTGCTTCCTGTGCGAGCCGCTCTGCCAGGGCGACTGCCTTCTGCGTGGGGGCCTTCGTGGCCAACCGCTCCTCGATGAACTCACGGCAGCGTGGGGCGCTGCGGCGGACGACCTCGGGCAGCTCCGCTCCTGCATCCCGTGCGAGCCGCTCGGCCAGCAGGACCTGCTGCTGCGTGGGCGGCCTCCTGTCCAGCAGCTCAGCAATGAGCTCGCCGCAGCTCCTGGAGCTCAGGCGCGCAGCCCTCGGGAGCTCGACGCGCGCCCCCCCCGCATGAGAGGCCGAGGCCGCCGGAGGGCGCGCGGGCGTCCAGAACCTGCCAGCCGTGCCGCTGCAATGCGGGCCCGCCGACTGCCCCAGGCCCGCGCACCCCTGGGAGATCCAGACGCTACAAAACACTGAAACCCTGTCAACAAATCACGGCAGGAACCATAGAGGCCCAGTTCCTCTGCGCCATTTTTCGAGCCGGGTCGAGCTGGGATGGCCCTAGGGCCCGAACATGATCAGCAACAAAAGTGCCCCCGCTCAGAAGTATTAGCCACAATGCAAGAACGAGGACCTAAGTTAGGCTACGCTTTCTAGCGTGATTAGGGCAAGGGGTTCTTGTGTTCTCGACGAGAAAACGGGCGGAACGCCTGGTGTTAAACAAAGGCGCTCCACTACTCGCAAAGTATATACTCGCAAATGGCTTGGATCCGCCGCGGGGGATTTACGACATATTACATCTGGGCAATATATGTTTTTCTGATGTTTGCGAGTAGGCACTTTGCGCACGATGGAATGTGCTCGGTGAGGCGTGCACATGCTGAAAAGCCAAGAGGTCTCGGGGCCTGCGCCCGCTGCTCTGCCGCGATCCGCCGCACGGCCATCAGCCAGGGCGGCCGCGAGGGCACGGCGCCTCGCGGCCCGCCGCACAGCGCTGGCGCCCGAGGGCGCCGCGCGCCTCTCGGGAGCCCCGCGCCAACCATGGCGTGCTGCGGCGCCGGGCCGGCCTCGGGCAGCTGCCGCTCCGCGGGCGGGGGGGGCGCTGGCCACTCCGCCGCGCCCCGCGGCGGTGCCCAACGCCGGCACCGCGGGCGCCGCGCCCGCAGGCGGCGCCCGGGAGGGCCCGCCGCCCGCCCCGCGCGCGGCCGGGCTGCACCCGCGCGCGCGAGGGCAGCCGCAGCAGAGGCCTCCCAGAGGTGCTGGGAATCGGCGGGGCGGCGCGCGCGCGCTCGGGACGCTTGGGCCAATCTGTCTATACGGCCAACGTCGGCGTCGTCCTTGATTCAAGGGGCCACCCACATAGGGTCCGAGTAGATGGGGTCTGAGGATCGCGACGCGCCGCCGATGCATCGCCGATACATCGGCGACGTCGGCGTGAAGACAGTCGGGCTCGCGATGCAGCGCGATCGCCCGACCCCATCTACGTACTTCGACCCCACCTGGTAAGCTTGCTGTCTTGAGGTGCCCGTTGGACTGGGTGACGCGCCGACAAATGTCTTTCTGGCAATTCCTCGACAACTCGATCGAGTCAAAACTAGTCTTGCTGCCCTGCCAGCACAATCAGGAGGTGCTGCGCTGACGCCCCAGATGGCGAGGTCGCTGTCGTGTTCAGGTGAACGCTTGGTCGCACACAGTACGTTCGTAGCATCAAGGCGATCCCATCTTGATCAATAGTCTCCATGCGTATATGTTTGTGGTCTCTGTGCCCATGGAACGCGCGAGTGCGAGGTGATATCTTGGCCAGAAGCTGTCATGGTTGATGTGCGAGTGCTTGATCGCCTGAAGCGTCGCATTGCTGGTCCTCCTGCTGTACCTGGCTCCCGATCCCCCATTCAACCTTTTACGTCCTTGTGGATCTCTCGTGAGGTTTGGCGGACTTGGCCGGAAAGCCTCAGCAATTGCGCCAAGTATAGCCTTTGTGTCCACAGGCTCCGACTATAGTTCCCTTGACTGATTAGCCCATGGACCCCGATCACCCAAAGCCGTCCACGGCGACGACGCAAGCGAAACCCGACCGAAGCCGACCGGAATCGAGTCAACTGGAAGCGGCCGAGAAGGACGCAAACAACGTGACAGCCAACCGAACCAGACCGAACGAGCGCAACCGAAGTCGAAGCAGCCGAACCGACCGAACCGCGGACACCTTTGCCCTCCTCCCTGGGAGGATGACAGCTGCACCCTCCAGGGCGCGGTCACCTCTCTTTCTCGAGGTAGTTGGACATGTCAGGCCCTGCCTACGCCCAGAGAGGCCTCCTTGGAGCCTGTGGGAGCCTCTGGGGAGCTCCGCTTCCTGCCCTTCCTCCTTATTCCCCGCTTCGTCATCCGTCCCTCCTGATCATCCTGCCCTCCCCCCGCCTTCCCCTTCTCCTTCATCATCCTCATCCCTCCCCCACTCCGTTCCCACCCCATCCCTCCCACCTTTTCTCCACCCGTCCCACCCTCTCCCTCCCACCTTGTGTCCACCCGCACTCGCCCATTCCTCCATTATTTACCTTATCGACAACTCCACCGTGTCGCACCCCCAGGCGTGTTGGTGGGGCAGCCCAGACGTTTTGCCTGGAGAATATCACGATCTGTAGCCGCAAACTTGAAATTCGCAGCAATTGCACGGATGAAGGGTCGTCGTTTTGAAAAACGGGCTCTCGCCGGAGCCCCGCGCGCGTTCGTCGAAAGACATTGGAGCAGCTACAAGCAGGGAGACAGGTCGTTCTCAAAGTGGGCCCCCCCCCCTTAGCGCCGCCCGCATTCGTTGTTCAACCCTTGTAAGGGCTGCGAGAATGAAAGATGCCCGTTGTCAACAGTTGCCCATCGCCTTAGAACCGCGCGCAGTCGTTGTAAACGCCTGCGGCAGCTACAACGGTGGATGTTGGCTATGTCTCACGATGCTGTTCTTGTCTTGGCGCCGTACACATTTCCATGACAGGCGCTGGTGAGAGTGAGTTGTTTTCAAAACAAGAGCGCCCGCCTTAGCGCCGCGCACGTTCGTCTACAACGTTTCCAGCAGCTACACGGACGAATGGCGAAATCCCCTTCGAATGTGGATATCGCTTGGGTTTTTTGAGTTTGACGACCAGACGGTTCAACCTATATAACAATTGCACACGTTGAGGGCGGTTCCTTTTCAAACAGCGGCTCTCGCTTGACACTTCATTCAAACTTGTACCCAACATTGCAAACTTGTGTGTCAGTTGAGCGGGTAAGGCAGATCCCTTTCGCAACGGAGCCCTCGCTGGTTATATCCTGAAGCTGTGTTGTCCTCGCCTTCAGCATTCCGGATAAACGCTAGAAGGATGAAGGCAACTCGATTCTCTGAACGGGGCGTACCAGACTTTCAGGTGGCGCTCCTTGCGGTAGAATTGAAAGCTAAGAAAACATCTGAGGAGGGAACTTCGAACGCAAGGGCGCATTGCAACATCATGAAGCTTCTGGAATATATTCTGAACCTCGTCCTCCTCGCCCTCCCTCATCCTGGCCCACCGACATGGTGGTTTCCGCAACGTGATCCCCCAGAGGTCTTGGCCACTGGCGGTGACCAGCGTTTCATTCTGAACAAATGTGCGTCGGTCCTGGCCCCTGTTCCTCCGTGGTAATGTTTGTGACTCTTTTCTCCGCCCTCTCGCTGCTGCCTTCTCCTCGTCGTCCCCGTTATCCTTGTCCTCCTTTCTCATCCTTTGTCCTCCTTGTCCTCCTCCCGCTTCCTCGTCTTCCTGCTCCTCGCCCTCCTCCACCTCCTCCTGCACCTCCTCCTTCTCCTCCTCCTCCTCCTCCTCCTCCTCCTCCTCCTCTTCCTCCTCCTCGCGCTCCTCGTCCTCCTCCTCCTCCTCCTCATCGTCCTCGCGCTCCTCGTCCTCGGACTTCCGTGGACCTCCCGCAGGGCAAAACCAGAAGCACCCACTGGGCCACGCGACCTCCTGCACGGCGCGCAGCCGCGCGCCGGCCGCGGCCTCCGCGGCGGAGAGCAGCAGCAGGTCGCGGCTACGCAGGTGGGGCCCCCTTTGGCGACCCTCCTGGCCGTCGGGGGCCTCCTCCTCCTCCTCCTCCTCCTCCTCCTCCTCCTCCTCCTCCTCAGCGACGACGAAGAGGAGGGAGGAAAACGAGGAGGAGGGAGGAGGACGGAGGAAGGAAGAGGAGGAGGAGGAGGAGGAGGAGGAGGAGGAGAAGGAGGAGGAGGAGGAGAAGGATGAGGAGGAGGGGGTGGAGGACGAGGAGAAGGAGGAGGACGAGGAGCGCGAGGAGGAGGAGGAGGAGGAGGAGGAGGAGGAGGAGGAGGAGGAGGAGGGGGATAATGAGAAGGAGAAGGAGGAGAATGAGGAGGAAGAGGAGGAGGAGGAGGAGGAAAGAGGAGGCGCAGGAGGAGGAAGAGGAGGAAGAAGAGGAGGAGAAATACGGGGAGGAGGAGGACCTGGGCGTTATAATTTCTTTACACCGGGCGTTTTCGCAAATCTCCGGGTTCTGGGGCCATCATGGGTCGATCTGACTCGAGAAATAGCGCAGAAAGATACGGTCCAGGGCTCGGGCGGTGATTTTTCGCGATGTCCCAATTTTCTCTCGCAGCGTCGGATCGGAGGGTCCCCCTCCTCGTCCTTCTTCCCATCCTCCTCCTGATCATTTTCCTCCTTTTCCTTCCTCCTCCTCCTGCTCATCCTGCTCTTGCTGCTCCTCTTTCTCCTCCACTTCTTCTTCCTCCTCCTCCTCCTCCTCCTCCTCCCTCCCCCTCCTCCTCCTCCTCCTCCTCCCTCATCCTCCTCCTCTCCTCCTTTTCCTCCTCCCTCTCTCCTCCCCATCTCTCCTCCCCTCCTCCTCCCTCCTCCTCCTCCTCCTCCTCTCCTCCCTCCTCCTCCCTCCTCCTCCTCCTCCTCCTCCTCCTCCTCCTCCCTCCTCGTCCTCCTCCTCCTCCCCCTCCTCCTCCTCCCTCCTCTCCTCCCTCCTCCTCTCTCCTCCTCCTCCTCCCCCTCCTCCTCCTCTCCTCCTCCTCCTCCTCCTCTCTCCTCCTCTCTCCTCCTCCTCCTCCTCTCCTCTCTCCTCTCCTCGTCCTCCTCCTTCTCCTCCTCCTCCTCCTCCCCTCTCTCCTCCTCCTCCTCCTCCTCCTCCTCGTCCTCCGTTTTGTTGTTATTTTGTTTCTCTCTCTCTCTCTCTCTCTCGCCTCTCCTGTCTCTCCCTCCTCACCCTCCTCTCCTTTCTCCCTCATTGCCCTCCTCTCCCTCGTCCTCCACTGTTTAACGTTCGACTAACCTGAGGAACTAGCCTGTCGCGTTCTTGCATGTGCGATAAATTAATACCGACTCGGGGCACTGCACCAGGCGGGCGCCGCTGACAACGAAGGAAAAAACCCAGGATCGAAACGGAAACAGAGTAGGCGTCCGCCAGGTGAAGGTCGACACTCACCCTAGTGGGTCGGCTCCTCCTCCACCCAGTAGACAGTCCCTAAGCAGTAAAGAACAACACTATTAATTGTGACTGTCGCCTCGGCAAGATAAGGTGCGAAACTGAAATACTGCAGTTCGAGGGTTGCTGCACAAGGTTGACCCTCAATCGTAGGTACATCCTTGCCAACAGACCCCCCCGTTGCCATAGTCAGCAACGCCACACCCCCCATCCACGTCGTGTACCACGCCTGCGATACGCAAGAGTAGAGAAGTTCTTGATTCCTGAGGGTCAGAAGTCGGTGACACTGAGCAAGGTCGGCTGGCTGTGGGTGTAGCCTGGGCCCAAGAATCGATTGTGCCGCTTGCGTTGGAACAGTCTAAGGACTGATGCGATGTCAAAAGCGTGGCGTTGCGCCCCTCCAGATGTAGGCTGGTGCAGTGATCGCTGGCCTGTACATCGTGCTGACTGTGTGCTGCGCACTAGGTCTGGCAAGGCGTGCTGCTGTAATTCGCAGTCGTGTTGAGGTCGTTCCCTCGTGGGCAAATTGCTCACGTGCCCCCAAAGTTGCGAACACAAGCCTATCAGGGTGCAAGTATTGGGCTGCTACCCTTAATCAGAGAGTAACTTCCCCTACCTCCATCCCCAAGTCATCCGTCCCCAACGCCATCCACGTCGTGCATTATGCGTGGTACGCAAAAGTAGAGCAATCATGTATTCCAGAGGGTCAGGAACCGGAGGCCAGACTGAAGCAAATGTAGGCTGGCCATGGGTGTACCCTTAGCCATGGGTGTAGAGTCCTCCTCTTCCTCCTCCTCCTCCTCCTCCTCCTCCTCCTCCTCCTCCTCCTCCACTCCCCCTCTGTCCATTCACCCCGCTCGGCGATGCCCCCAGAGCCTCTGGCGGCCCTCCTGGCCGTCGGAGCTCCATAGGCGGGGATCCCGTCTGCGGTGTCGAGGGAGGCTCAAGGCTCGAGGGGGGCTCGAAGCTCGAGGAACACTGTTTGTTTCCGCAGGAGGCTCGAGGCTCGAGGTAGGCGCGGAGCCCGACGACACTTCATATGTCTTCCACTTTTCTCAAGGGAGGCTCGAGGCTCGGGAGCAACCATTTGATCGTTTCGAGGGAGGCCCGAGGCTCGAGGGAAGCTCGAGGCTCGATCGTAGATCGAGGCTCGATGGTTTTTGTGTCTTGGTTGAGGGAGGCTCGAGGCGCGAGGGAGGCTCGAGGATCATCTGTTCCCTGCTATCCCTATGGTCCCCCTCATTTCGAAAAGGGCGCTGCTCGCGCCCGCACAACCTTCTCACCCCTTCTTTTTTTCCGAACCCTCTTCACACTCCCTCTCGCGCTGCCAGGAGGGCTGCCAGTGGCGGGGCTGTCGCCCCTTGCCGCAGTAGGGCACCACGCGCGTTGCGCAGTCTGTCTCGCGGATCCCGTGGGGGGGGGGCTGTCAGCTGCGCCACTGCCGCTACTGTCGTGGGCTTCTGGGATGCCCAGCGGGGCGACCGCGGATTCAGACGAGACCCCGCGCTCCATTGGGTGCTGACAACTCCGCCACTGCTGCCGTTTTCGTTGTTAGTGGGAGGACCAATGGAGCGACGCCATACGCGCATGTAGACAAATCCTCGCGCTCCATCGGGGGCAACCAACTGTGTCGCTGTCGCCGCTTTCGTGGGCTCTTGGGATGCCCAGCGGAGCGACAGCCTACGCGGATTCAGATGAGACCCGCGCTCCCTGGGGTGCTGACAACTCCGCCACTGCTGCCGTTTTCGTGGGTCCAGGGAGACCCAGCCAAGCGAAATCATACGCGCATCTAAATGAAACGTCGTGCTCCCTGGGGGGGGGCTGTCAACTCCCCAACTCTCGCCACTTTTGGGGGCGCGTGGAAGGCCAACTGGAACGACGTCATACAAGCATTCAGGTAAGACCTGGCGCTCCGTGTGGGGCTGCCAGCAGCTGCGCTTCCGTCGCCGCTTCCGTAGGCTCCTGCGAGGCTGCCACCTACGAAACCGTCGCCATTCTGCATCCATACGAAACTTCGTGGCTCCCTAGAGGGGCTGCCAACTGCGCCACATCCCTTTCGCGAGTCCCTTGGAGGCCCACTGGAGCGACGCCACACGCGCATCCAGATGAGACCTCGCGCTCGAATGGTGCAAAGTGCGCCAAAAATGCCGCTTTCGTGGGGTCCTGGGTGGTCCAACGGAGGGACACCGTGCGCACATCCAGATGAGACCTCACGGCTCTACCGTTTGCCACTTTAGTCGGGATCCTGGGAGGTCCAGCGAGGCAGAACCTCGCGGATCCCTGGGGGGCCGTCACCTGCGCAACTGTTTGTCACTGTCGTCGGGTCTTGAGCCCAGTGGAGGAATGGCTTATGCACATTCAGGCGAGATCTCGCGGCTCCCTGGGGGGCTGCCACCTGCGCAACTGTCGCCACTTTCTTGGGCTCTCAAGGCGATCCCTCCCTGGCTGTTGCCTGGCACTCAGCCTCCTTCCTTGTCTTGGCCATCGTCGCCCTTCATTATTTCCCCTCCATGTTCTATCCTGTGGCATTATCTGATACAGTCCCCATGAGGCGTGCAACGCGGAGGCCTCGTACGTTTAAGTCGGGCACGTTCCCCATACAGAGGGATTTCGGTTGAAAAAAAGAAGCATCAAGAACAACACCCCGAAATGATAAAAGAAACTGGTCAGAAATTAGTTCCTTGATTTTTGTTTGACTATTTTGGAATGTTCCTCCTGTAGAGGGACAAGCCCGACTTAATCCGACGTGCAAGCTGCATGAAAGGTCGCGCCCCTTGCCGTGCAGTCACATGTTTGGGACGAGCCCGCTGCAATGGCAATCGACTCACATGGGCTGGGCACGTCCCCAGGTCAACTTCGAGGGAAGCTCGCGGCTCGAGGCTCGAAGCTCGATGATGGATCAAACATTGAGGGACGGTAGTGGCTTCTTGGGCCGCGGAAGCCTCCAGAAGCCTCAGTGCCCAGTATTCCTCTGCGGGTCGAAACATGGCTTGGTCAGCTGGATCTGGCACAATCCTGCTATGCAATGGTCTGGCTTCCGGGGCCCTGAGTTTGCCTCCAGAGGCATCGCCCCGGAAGCCTTCAGAAGGGGACTTCTGGAGGCCTCCAGACCACCAAGGACCGCATATTCCCAGGGTCCAGACACCCCTGGGGAATCTCGGGCCGTCGGGACGGACGGGGGCGCTGGGTGAGGCCACGGGCACGGTGTCGGAGGGGGAGGAGGAAGAGGAGGAGGAGGAGGAGGAGGAGGAGGAGGAGGAGGAGGAGGAGGAGGGAGAGGAGGAGGGGGAGGAGGAGGAGGAGGAGGAGGAGGAGGAGGAGGAGGAGGAGGAGGAGGAGTGGAGGAGGAGGAGGAGGAGGAGGAGGAGGAGGTGGAGGGGGAGGAGGAGGAGAGGAGGAGGAGGAGGAGGAGGAGGAGGAGGAGGAGGAGGAGGGAGGAGGGAGAGGAGGGGGAGGATGAGGAGGAGGGGAAGGAGGAGGAGGAGGAGGAGGAGGAGGAGGAGGAGGAGGAGAAGGAGGGGGAGGAGGAGGAGAAAGAGGACGAGGAGGAGGAGGAGGACGATGAGGAGGAGGGAGGACAGGGTGGGAGGAGGCGAGGCGAGGCGAGCGCGCGAGTTCGGTCCAGCGGGACCGGCCCTCA